CAACAGACTATAAAATTTTTATGTATGCATGTATATCATAATACATTATTTGTTTATTTTATACTTTGGCAGAAAGTCTCACCTATTTTATGTGTGTGTTTGTTTGTGTGTGTGTGTATGTGTGAGTTTGTCTGTGTATATGTGTGTGCGTGTGTGTTGTATATGTGTGTGCGTAATATTTTCACATAGTTTGGATTGTTGTATAAGGAGTGGAAAGAAGTCAATCTTGAATGCATACAATGATGGTCAGTATTTTGTGCGTGTTGTATCCGTATAATTGTTTGCAGTGATGCGTGTTTGGGCGTTTGTATAGGTTTGTGTGTGTTTGCATGTTTGTATGTTTGTGCGTGTGCTTGTATGTTTGCTGTATATGCGTGTATACCTGTGAATATTTGTCTGTGTTCATGTCTAAATCCGTATGTTTGATTAAGCGCACGATGTTTGTATGTACATTGATTCGATTCTATGATGGCTTATTGCATTTTTTGTATGCCCACATGTATATTTTATGAAAGTGGGTGATGTGATTACAAGCGTTCATGCAATGCGACTCGTTTAAATGCTTATTCAGTCAGTGTGTGTTTGAGTTGAAGTATCGTTGTAATGTTTTGTTGTTTTGTATGAAATATTTTCACGTTTGTATGTTTGGTTATTAGTATCTTTCTTTCTAGGCATCTTTGTATGCATCCTTATACTCTTGTATTGTACTCGTTATAGTCATTCTGTTGTGTCAAATGTTTCGGTTAAAGTGAAATATTTGCATCTCTGCTTTTGTGTAATTGTTTCTTTGTATGTGTGCATATTTATATGTACGTGTGTTTGTAAATTTTTATGAAATGTGTGTATAAATGCAACTGCATTTATACAAATCAACTTTATTCTTATTATTTGTATGCGATTTATATTATTTTTTACGTCTTAGCATAAAAACGTGTTTGCAAACGTATTTGTTTTGGTACACAATTTGTTTGTATGTTTTTGTATACAATTTGTTTGCATGTTTTAGCATAAAATTTGTTTGTATGTTTTTGTATACAATTTGTTTGTATGTTTGAGTGTACGCAATGTATTGCGCCGGTGGCTGATGTTGTCTTTTAGGCCTAAAATGTTTTGGTCATTCGTCCATTCATTTAGTGGTGTATGATATACACGCGCGCTCCTGTTGGTACGTTCATTAGATGGGGTATCTCTCTATAGCATGGTATTCTATTGCACGGTATTTCTGTATTCGTATGTAGGCGTTTGTATTTTCCTGAAAACATGAGTTGTGTTTACAGCTAGAAAGGAAGGTTACAATTACAATTTGGTAGATTAAAAAGGTTACAAGTTTTATAAAAAATGTTGTCAACTAAAATACTTTTAAAGTGATAAATAAATAAATAAAAGTAATATTAATGATAAATAAAATATTGATAAATATAACAATAGGAATTGTGATTGTTTGGCACATGTTTGTTCCTCTGTTAATAAAATTTATTTACCAACCAAAACGAATTGAAATTGTTTATCAATTAATTAAAAATGTAATCAGTTAATAAATTAATCAAACAATCAAGTATTTAATTAATTAATCAATCAATTTATTAAACATAATACTAAATATTGATCAAATTTGAAAATGGATAAAACTTCATTTAAAAATACTTTCTGAAGACCTATACAAATAGGAATTAAGGATTTATAAGCGAAAAATATGGCTCAAAAGAATCCAAGTCAGATAGACATCCGTATCTCAACATTTTTAACAGTGCTCAATTTTCTATAGCTTCATTTTATTATCATCTTCATCGTCGAACTTTTTGAAAAATGAAAAAAAACCAGAAGAAATAACTCAAAAAATATTTAAAATAAATATTACGTACATAAGCAAAACTCACAAAAAGCAAAAACAAACAGAAACATAAATGTG